CAACCTCTAAAGAATGAATTATGTAACCGGTGTTGTGTTTTAGACGAGATAGTCACTAGCTGGCAGAAAAGGGGGCAACTCATAGCTACAGATATTTGTTCCCTGTGTTTGGGAAGATTCCAAAGTTTATCATATGATATATAAATATCATGATACACATGCACTAATTTTTTGTTTCTAGAAATTGCAACACTTCTGAGTTTATGTTGTAGTTGTGTCAGTCACAATAACTGCAGTGAGAATAATTCTGTTATTTTATGTATAATAATTCCTCCTTCTCTTTTCTTAGTGTTACACAGGAGTATTTCTGCAACACGTCTCATAATTTTCTTTATATCTCTGGACAAAAAGCTAATTTGAGGATGTAGATTTGAGATATTATGCAACGTGAGTGTGTGTGTGTGTGTGTGTGTGTTTGTGTGTGTATATTTGACAGTGAGTAAATATGTATATTTACACGCATGGATAAACTCACTTCTCTACCACACCCAATTGCTCCATGTCCCCCAGGCCGCTGCCATGTCGACAGTCGTGATTCGAGGACACTCTGTGCAGCAGCAGGTCTTTATTTTCCTTTCATGTCACGAAACATTGTTCTATGGTGACCATGACAAGCAGACACCACAACTGTACTTGTCCTTTAGTGTATTATTATGCTGATTTATCTCCTTTAAGGTGTGTGTTTCCCCAAAAACAAACTGGTAAAAACTGGTAAAAAAAAAAAAAAAAAAAAAAAAAGAAGGGGTGTTTTGATCATTTTGGTTCATTTAATTTACAACTTTTTCACTTACAAAACTGCTGACACATTTCTGCATGAAACCTTTGTCAGAGCATATGACAATTAACTCTCTTTGTAAATGATGCGTTGAGCAAACAACAGAACAATTGCACTTGTACACCTGCAAGAAGATTCACAATGCAGGAGAAAAACAGAAATTAAAGAAAAGGAGAAAAAGATTACATAAAATTAAGAAATTGTTTTGGGGAAACAAATAGCTGTCCTTTTCAGAGCTGAGCCACCCAACTAGAAGTGCACCTGTTTCCTCTTATGAATTCATTGCCTCTTTTAAAATAAGACAGGATGTCATCACTTTAACACACAATACATAAGATATATTTTCACATTACTACAAATAATTTGTTTTAATTTGGCTAGTTCATATTTGTGGTTTTATCTTCTGCTTGTTAAATGTATGAGTTGACACTGACTAGTCATGCTATGTTTTTAGTTGATAAATTAGGTCATCAACCTGAAGCTTTGATTTGCTTCCTATTAGCTACTGTGATAAAACTGTCTTTAGCTTTCATTTTCTACTTTATGACAAATGTCGTTTTTAGATCTCCACCTGGTTAACTGCCTATCTGCCTGTGTCGTCTGTCTGAGTCTCTCAAGTACGATAGAAAGGGAAGATTTACAGTATTTGCTCTATTCATTTATTGTCCGACAAACTTCTTTCCTCTGGTTACTTTTACTGGCACAACTGACAGCCTTTGACTTTATACTGCATTAAATTTATGCAAATGTTACAAAAACAGTCAGACTTTCTGGTTGGCTCAGGGCCAACATTAACTACAACAGTTTTTATATGCGCTGCGTTAAGGTATTGCATGTGCTCTGCATGGCTGAGGTGATTTATAGCCAAATATTCACAGCAGCACAGTAGAATGAAATGCAGATCTCCATTGTGAATAATGGAGAAAATTCCCAGCTGTGTTTATGTAAGGTTGATTGTTTGAGATTCATGTGGTCTCTGTCTGGTGTGTTGGGTGTTGATTTAGTAGGGTTCAGTGGGCTGTCATTGAGCCAACCCCTCCTACAAGTAAGCGTTTATAGAGTCCTTGGATAGAGACCCAGCTGACAGGCATATATTATGTGCTCTATAGTCAAAGTGGGAAATGTTTCTATGTTAAAGGCTTGTTTAGGGGTGGGAGGTGACATGTGAAACAATTTATCCTCATCTTAAGAGCTTTTTAAATACAAAACTTTTACACTTCAGGTGGTTGCTCTTACACTATAAAACCTGGAAGATAAACAACCAATCAGGCGCAACCATTGAGAAATGTGTAATTTTTATGTACTAGAAGCACTGCTGAGAGTTTAGCGTTGGCAGCTGACACTCAAATGGCAGAGGATCAGATTTACTGCGCCAACAACCAACAGTCTTCAAACCGGTCCCTACTATTCCCACACTGTGAAAACATGTTTGAAAATATAATGGTGACAAAACATGCATTGTAATTTTTTAATGTGCATCTGCATATTGATTTCCTTTTGGTAATAAATCAACTGAAAATACAGGTTTGTTTGGGGAAAAATCAAACCCTTTACATTTGAGTAAGGTAGAATGTTTTAACCATTTCCTTTCTGTTGTGGTTATCAGAGCAGATCTGGGACATTTTGTCAGTCAGTCGGTCTATTCCTCTGTTCTTGTATACATTACATACCACTCAATATAAACTCAATATAATAATAAAAACTTAAATCATTTACCAATTTTGGTTCTTTCCGGCTTTCTGGAAGAAAGACACGTTATCTAAAATGTTGTGGCTTTCTTTTTAAACGATCTGCTATAATAGTCACAATTTTTAGTGAAGGGGCTAAATGAGGCAAAACAGTGGGTCCTTGAACACAGAACATTACAGTACAGGTGGGAGTCAAGTCAGTGGCACAGCCAGGTGTGATGTGCATGACTGCCATGTGTTATGTAATTATTTTAAGATATAACACATAGTTCCCTGATGTGTCAGGGGCTGATATTAGGGGCTGTAAACATTTTTAGCTTTCTCTGCGTACACCAGGTTGACCTTGCAATAAAGTTTATTTCTTTCTTCTTTCTCAGCAGATACATTAAATAATAAGCTGTATTTGGCTGGCCTCTGAAACAAAACCATTGCATTTTGAATTACGTCTGCGCTGCATTGTTGGTGCTCTGACCTGCAGATCACAGGAAATAAACGCAGAGCAACGAATCAATTATTTTCTCTTTCACACCATATCCTTTTCTCCTCCTCTCTGTGTTTCTCTGGTTCACTCTCGCTTGTCTCTTTGCTGTACAAACCCTGTCCATCTCTCACCCCTCCTTCTCCAGCCTCCTTCTATTTTGTTTGCCCATGTAACTTGTCAGTTTGCTTCCTTTCTCTACTTTAGAGCATCCAACTCTTTACCCAAAACCAAATCTGGTCTGTTTTGTTTCCAGGCTTTTATCTTGTCTCTCTGCTCTTAGTTTCTCTTTCAGCTAATGCTTGTGTGTGTTTTTGTGTGTGTCTGGAGATGTCTCAGTCTCACATTAATTTGAGTCAGTAACCTCACTTTGTTCATTCTATTAATCCTCTAAGTCTTAACAAAGACAAATCCTCTCCTTCACTTTTTCTCAACCTCTGTGCACAGATAAGTCTTCAAATGTATCTTTCCTTCTCGGATCATCTTTCCCACAATACCTTCATCTAATCTCACTCCTGCTTTTACCTTTGTGTTTTACAGCTCACCTGCTCCCTCGCACACTATTTCTGTCTCTCTGACTCCTTCTGTTTTTTCTCCCCGGATCGTCTCTCTCACAGCGATAAGTGCTCATTAGTCTTATTTGTCAATATGCCTAGACGGGTATCAGATCTTTGTATTCCGCCTGTTTAGCAAATTATTTCATAATGTGAACCAGGAGAAAAAGGTACCCCTTACTTATTTTGGTGTTTTCTTTTTCTCTATCTTTTTGTTTTAAGTGATCATCAGTCAGATGTTTTATTGTTTATTTCTAAAGGTCTTGTTCTGTATTGGTTTTGGTTGATGGCATAGTTTTCTGCATGGACACTAAGAGTATGTGAAGTGATAGGTGGTGATGGACACATTTTCAAATAAATATATGTTTAGCTTGGGGGTATGTTTGATATAATTATATTCAAACATTGCAAGAAATTGTTTCAGATGACTGTATCTTTCTTTAATGCAATACTATTGCAGTACACAGCTGCAAAGCTCACTACAGCCTCTGTTGCTTGACAGACATAAACTACATGATCAAAAGTATGTGAACACTTGAACATTACACTCAGTTGTAACTGTTGAACAATTTGATCCCAAAGCTATGGACATTAAAGTGATAGTTTGGCATTTTGGGAAATTCTTACCAAGAGTAAGAGACTGAAGAGATGAGGAGATTGATACCGCTCCATGTTTGTCCGGTAAATATGAAGCTATTGCCAGCACCCTGTTAGCATAGACTGGAGACAGTGGGGAAACAGCAGTTGCCAGGCAGGCAAACAGTGGAGGCTTTGAATGGATGAAAGTGGCCAAGTGTAATGTGTAAATTAGTGAGCCTTCCTGATAGACAGATTCTGTTACATTTGGACAGAGCTTGGCTTACTGTTTCCCCAAGTTTCTAGTCTAAAAGCTAAGCTAAGCTAACTGGCTGCTGCCTCCAGCAACATAATTAGTGTACAGACCTGAAAGTGCACACAGATCTTCTCATCTACATCTAAACAAGAATCAGATGGTTACAGCCTAACTAGGAATGGCAAACTAGGAAAAAAGGGCCTAGCTATACTTTCGACTACCTCCCTCAAGAGTCTCCCATGATTGCCTTCATTTTTATGGGAAGGCTCCCACAACATGTTGGAACCATGTTGCTCCCATTTAGCCACAATAGTATTACAGAGGTCAGGCACTGATGTTATGTCATAAGGCAGCTGGGCCTTATAGACCATTGGTGTTCCAGTTCATCCCAAAAGTTTTTGATGGGGTTGGGGTCAAGTTCCTCCACACCAAACTTGGGAAAAGCAGTTATTTTATAGACATCTCACTGTTTGCAGAGGCAATGTACCTTCCCAAGACCATTGCCACAAAATTGTAAGCACACTATTGGCTAAAATCTCATTGTATGCTGTACATGAAGATTATTCTTTCACTCAAACTGAAAAAACGTCCCCAGACCAAAGGTACACAGAAGTATGTGCTGAATATGAACTTGTTTATGTATACATGCGTGTGTTTGTGTCATTTTTAACAGAACTCCAGGTAACAAACCAGGCAGCAGCCCCAGAGGTCAGACCCCAGACGAGACCGGACGGCGCCACGATGCCAACTCCTCTGTGTCTGACTTGGCCAATTCAGTCACCAGTGACATGCTCATGGTAACACACAATATCAACACAGTATGTCTGCAGCCCCATGAGACACATTGATACGCCACTAACTCATCTGTGGTCTGTCTCTTTTCCGCATTGCTGAACTCATCTATATTAAGAGGAGGAGGACTGCTGTCAGCAAAGCCTTTTAAATCATAATAAATGAGATGGCTGAAAGACTTGAATAGGGCTTTCAGATCGTCTTTCCTAATCTAAGATGAAAGTTACATGCAGGCCTTGAGACAAAGAAGTGTAAGATAAGTCGAAGGGGGTAGATGAAATAATTTAAAAAAACTAAATTAGACTAACTTATTGGTAATTAATCAGCATTGTAAACATTGTCATGAAATGAGGTTATATTAGACTATGTTGAATTTAGCTCCTGTTTATGTTGGCTTAGTTTTTAACATATAGCAACTAATCCTCTTGTTTCATGCAGTTTGAATGTTTGACAGTTCATTCTTGACATTGGAAACAGTTGACAAAACAGTTTCCACTCAAGGTCCACTTGCTCACTGTATGACACGCTCTGTAGCAGCAGATGAAGTTTTCTCAATATTCATGGAAATTAAGCATTAGTTCAGGCAGAGCACTGTAGTCATAGTTGTATTGGCATCAGCTGTTTCATAGGTGTCTCATTTACAGCTATGTGGCCTGTGTGGCAAGTTACAGCGCAGCCTTAATAACCCTAACCCTAACAGTTATATGATTTTCTCACCTTGACATGTCTCTGAATGAACTGTAGATTTTCCAAAATGCACGAGCATCAAAATCAGCTGAAGAAAGGTTTGTGACTTGGTCGAAAGATCAAGCAAGTGAATGAACTCTGTGTGGAAATCTGTTTTTGAAATTTTTGTCAAATTAAGTTTTTGGAGTTCTGTTGTTACGTTGCTTTAAAATCTGACATCAAATTGTTGATCGCAAGTGTTGATTTAGAGATGACAAATACTGATAAATGCTGTAGCTAAAATGACCCACATTTATAGCAGCATTTGTGATTGAGATCAAGTTAGTGTTCAATGTTCTGATTCCACTTGGGTCATTTTTTTGTAGTTTTGGACATGACCTCTAGCAGTAATAATATCAATTTAATTATGAAATGAATGGCTGAGATCAGGCAGCACTGCTAAAAAGAAGACTATTAGGGCAAGAAACGCAAGCACTCAACCCCCAGATTAGCCATCCGTCATATGTGTACAGACTTGGTTTAATTTACCTTGCCTGCCAGATCATAGTAGGGGTTGGGTTGGTAGAGTGGGTCGTCCACTAATCAGAAGGTTGGCCTGACTCCTCCTGCTGCATGTCGAAGTGTCCTTGAGCTGATACTGATACCCCAAATTCACTATGTGTCATGTAGAGTAAAAGTGCTTGGAGTGGTCATAAGACTAGAAAGGCACTATACAAGTACAGTCCTTCAACCATTTACAGCAGTTACTTTGGTGAAAGTTTTTTTTTTTTTTTTTCAGAATAAAGATAGAAATGATGGGAAAAATAAGACCAAAGTTGTGATAAAACCAGAATTATCCCTTAAAACCACTTTGTATGAGGTGTTTACATTTATTTGTCTACCACCTACTGTGAATAATATACATTGTGTTTGTTCTGGAGAAGGCAGAAAAGAAGGCATACACACTTCAGTTCAATTGAGCAAAGTCCGATGAGGAGTGTTTCCTCCTCTACCTGTCATCACTCAGAAAGTACTGTCTTCATCCCACTCAGCTCAGCTTACCCACCTGTAGAGCATCGGAGTTAGTTATTGCCACATCCCAGCTGACTGAAACATAGAATAATCATCACCCTGAAGTGAGACACTGGGAGGGGAGGGGATGTGCGCCTTATTCAGCGAGGATCGGTAATTAGCTGTGAAAGAACACGCAGTGCTGTGGGTGCCGCGAGAATATGGCAGTGGGTATGAGCAGTGTGTAATTATGTGGGTCTCATGGTGTGTCTGAGGAATTCACAGTGGTGGTGCTTAATGATAATACTCATTCTGGGCAGTTTTGCCAAAGGCGTCTATATATTACACAACCCTCCTTTCATGCTGAAAATACCCATCTAGCACTTTTGAACCACTTGTGCTGCTGTAGGAAAAGCAGTGGCAGACTTTATTCCATAGATTATATTGAGAAAAAAAAGATTGAGAAGATTGGCACTGAACATTAGAGTATATATACATCCAACCGTTTCAATGGGGGTCCTGTCTGTGTGGTTCTTCAGGATGTACTCTGACACGGCTTTCATTTTTGTGACGTTCACAGAGCCATGGATAGTATGGTGTGAGTTTATCTTTGCCTCTGTGTCATCACACATCCACACATTTGCAGAGTTTATATGTTCTTTATTTGTTTAATAGATAAGGCGGAGGATATTCTAGTTTTTGTTACTGTCAACAAATCCCATGAAAAGACTGTTGGGGACTACTTTCAGCTGCAGATACACGTTTACTTGGCTAGTGAGTATTTACAACGGCAAGACGGTGTGTGATTGACTTAAAATAAACTACAGATTTATTTTATTGAAGGAGCATGTCAGCCAGTGCAACATGTGGCTAATTGTTGAGTTTTTTTATTTATTTATTTTACAATAGAAGTCAATGGCACAGAGGAATAAGCTATATCTAGGCTTTAGCTAGACATAAAATACTTGCTAGTGGAAACAGTTTATTGTTGGTTTTGGTCTTTTGCAATAACCAGAAATATAGAATATAACCAGCTGTATCCTGGCATCTTCTGGTGCTCCAACAGAATTTGCATCTGCACCTGGGTTGTTTTGGTTTCAGAAAAAGAAATAAGAGAACAAAATGTAAGAATTGAATGAGAACGGAGGACTCTTGGGGGAAAAAAAGAGAAAGCGCCCAATGCAGAAAATGGGGGAACGCAATTTAGGCCAGCTGTTGGGTGGAGGACTGCATAATGAAAGTGATCATATTCAGCATGGAGAATGAGACTGAGCAGCACCATTAGAAATATGTGGGAGAATATGGAATTGGATATTACATTTCTGGAACTGCTCCTTGAGTAATGCCTCTAGCTCCTCCAACAATCAGATAGGACTTTTCAAACTGGATTTGTACCCGTCCCTCAGGCCACGTCTCCGTCAGTCAGAGAGCCTGTCTACCAGGAGATGATCTGCCTCTCATCGCCACACAGCCATGGACGCTTTCTGCCTTTACTGCACAGCAGACATGTGGCATAACATTATGCTAGTTTGCCCATTAGAAGCTGTGTTTTTGATGTTGAAGTGCAGAATTAGTGCCCCCCCATGGGCTGGAGCCCAAGATTCCTATTTTGTGTTAGCGCTTTTGGAAGTGTTTCTTCTGAGTGTGAACATGCTGTGAATATGGTATGAATATGGAGTTTCACCTAGTGGTCTAATGCTGATTGTATTGTGCTAACTGAGAGCTGTTTTTAAAAATGTGTACACCTCATTTAGCTGTGTCAATGAAGATAGACTAAATATTACAAACACCTCTTAGTATAATACAATATAGCTCAACAGCACCACAAACTACACCCATCAATAAACTTGTAATTAAGTTTTTACCTCCGGGTTTAATTAATGATAAAATAATAATTGTGAAATGTGATTTGGTCTTAGCTTATAATGTAACAATAAATCATTTTCTCCTCCAAGGATGTAGGTGCTCCTGGTGTGCATATCTTATGAAGAGAGTGATGAACCAGTAATAAACCAATAAAAACTGCCTTCATTACAATGTAGCTAAAACATATCACCATCTAATGTTGAATAAAAAAATAACCTTTATCTCCTCTTCCCCCCGTATCTCTTAGTTGTCTCCAGGTTCGGAGGAAGATGATCATGAGGGTCCGGTGTGTGAGAAACTGGGTCGCATTCAGTTCAGTGTTGGATACAGTTTTCAGGACTCCACCCTCACTGTCAAAATTCTCAAGGGTCAGGATTTGCCTGCTAAGGACTTTTCCGGCACCTCTGATCCGTTTGTCAAACTCTACCTGCTGCCCGACAAAAAGCACAAATTGGAGACCAAAGTCAAGAGGAAGAATCTAAACCCCCACTGGAACGAGACCTTCCTGTTTGAAGGTTCGATGGAGGAGGCTTTCCTTATGCCTTTAACATCAACTTAACAAAGTTCTCAGCACATGCAGGCTAAGCTTAAGCTGTTTATTTGCATCTGTGCATCACTGTGACTTATCAAGACTTTGTTGTGTCAATTTCTTTCTCAGGATTCCCCTATGAGAAGGTGGTCCAGAGGACTCTATACCTGCAGGTTCTCGACTACGACCGCTTCAGCAGGAATGACCCCATAGGAGAGGTGTCCATCCCCCTCAACAAACTGGACCTGGCCAACATGCAGACTTTCTGGAAGGAGCTGAAACCATGCAGTGATGGCAGCGTGAGTAAGATGGAAAAGGGGGGGTAGAGGAAAGAAGAGGGAGAGGGAGGAGGGGAAAGAGAAGATGGGACAGAATGTAACGGTGATGTCATTCCTGGCTGCTGTGATGCTCCCGGGGGAGATGTGGCAGCGTGCTGGTGGGAGAAGAGATAGAGGGGAATATGGAGAGGCTGACAGGTTGACGGAGAGAACACAGGCAGCCACAGGAAGAAACAGAAATACACAGTAAGCAACAGAAGGGAGAACAATGTGAAAAGGGGATAAAAAAGTAAACAATCCCGCTGTTGTTGTGTATGATTTCTCTAGGGGAGTCGAGGGGATCTGCTGGTGTCTCTGTGCTACAACCCCACAGCCAACACCATCACTGTGAGCATCATCAAAGCCCGCAACCTCAAAGCCATGGACATTGGAGGCACTTCTGGTATAGATGCTCCTTCATCTCACTTGTCCTTTTATTGTTGTACTTCTACATTATTGCTGCTTCAAAATGATAATGAGAAAATTGTGTTTTTTGCTCACCACCACAAAATGATGGCAGTGAAACTAACATTGCATTCAATGATGGTAAACTAGCGCATTTTCCTCTCCTCAGACCCCTATGTAAAAGTGTGGTTGATGCACAAGGACAAGCGTGTGGAGAAGAAGAAGACGGTGGTAATGAAGCGCTGTCTGAACCCTGTTTTCAACGAGTCCTTCCCCTTTGACGTGCCTGCCCACGTGCTGAGGGAGACCACCATAATTATCACTGTCATGGACAAGGACAGGCTCAGTCGCAATGATGTCATTGGAAAGGTATCTCCTTCTCTCTTCTTCCCTTCTTCTTCTTCTCTTTCTCTGTGTTTTTCGGACTCTGTGACAGACCATCAGCAGCCGATCACTGAGCCAGTCTCTACTGACCCCTGCTGGAACACGCAGACCAATCTTCTGCATTGTAAATTAATAAAGAAAACAACAAATGAGTAGATTTGAAATCACTTTATTTTGAGTGTGAACCAGTTGTTTGTATTTAGACACCAGTGGCATGCAGGCCAACCCAAGTATATCCTCTTATGTGTATCCCCTTAATGTACATTTAATATTATAACTAAATAAACGTGGAACGTGTATCCAAATTCCCCCAACTACAACTGGAATATCCTTTTTGATTTTGATATAGGGCATATCGTGTTATTGTCCATTTGTTGCCTGAACATTTCATTTATGATTCAGTTGTGAATTGTCTCTAAGAATAACACGTCTATTGCCCCAAGAGATGATTGGCTAGTCCAAATTGTTTAAGGATCTAATATTTCAGTTGTTGTGTTACTGTTGATACATGTGCACTGAGTTAATTAAATTGATTAGTTAGTTTAAGGGTCTGTTATTTCCTAATTATTTCTATTTCTTTTTGTTTCCTCAGAAAAAAAAAGTAATTTGGTGCAAACTTGGGACATAGGGACGAGTTCTGAGAACTAATTGAGTTATTAGAGTTTGGTTAGTTATGGTCAGTTAGATAGTTATTAATTTAAGAATTTCTTTGAAAGAACTGTTCAAATTTAAGCACAAATAAATATGCATTCATTATTTATTTATTATTGGAAACTTAATCTTTCATATATGTTCAACTGTGTGGTTAATGTAGTCAAAGTCACATTTTTGCATGTTCAGCTGACTTTGTGTGCCCTGACTGAAAGAGTGTGGGCTACGCTAGCTCAATATTAATTGAAATTAATTAATTGGAAGTGTACCAATTAAACATGGTCTCTGCTTCAGCTATAATTGTTGGCAAATTAATTTTTTCTTTTCAGGAAACTTCCTAAAATTATTAGGAATTTACAGACCCCTAAAATAAAGCATTGCCTTAGTTTCTGCTATTCCATTATTTCATCCACATTAATTTATCCCATTACTGATTCATATAACTCAGCTCCAACCACATCAGTCCCAATTCCCAATACCCACTTCTCTATAAGTATACTGAAGAGAAAAGCTCTTACACAATTTATAAATGTCTGTCTACAATGCTGGAAAGACCACAAAGCTCAAATCAAATCCTTGTTCCTTCAGACACTGTAAGAATAATCTTTGAGTTGTGCACTGCATGAATGAGCTATTATGCTCTCTGTCATTAATGCACATCTACTGTAATTGCAGGTGCTACATCCTAGATAATATATATTATCTGCCTACACACAGCAGTTATAATATGTTGCCTATTATACCACAATCATAAATAACTTGAAACTGGTCAGAGGACAATGAAACACAGTATTCCCTGTGACATTTACAGATCAGGAGTTTCTTTCTACATGAGAATTACTTAAAGACTCAGTGTTTGATCGTCATTAGTGTCAGCATTAGCCTTTCTCAGAGTATTTCAGTGAGTGAAATCTCTTCCTCTAATGGCTCCTTTTCTGCCCTGGATTTGAGTTAAATTCCGATTAGAGTGGCAGCTTAGTGGTGAAAGCAGGGATAGACTTAACTTACAGTAAGGTTTTTTTGGGGGAAGGCTCTTTACAAATAACATCAATATCTGTGTGACACTACATGTGTTACATTGGCTCTCTCTTTCTCACAGATTTATCTTTCATGGAAGAGTGGCCCTGCAGAGGTAAAACACTGGAAAGACATGATGGGTCGTCCTCGCACTGCTGTGTCCCAGTGGCATGCTCTCAAGGCCTGAGGAACCAACAGTGTTTTTCCCCTCAGAATTCAGCATCAGCCTCTCAGCCCCTGCCCTCAGCACATATCCCCTACCCCCTAACTGCAGTTTTGGGCTGCAGATAATGTGTGTCATCTCTTTGTTCTCAGGCCTCTTTGATATCCTCTGCCCTTAGTCCACGTGACACCATCCTTAAATTTCACCCTTGTCAAGTTCTGATTCCCACCTGACCCCCTCTCTCTTTGTCTGAACTTAAAAATGTCTTTGATGTCTTTCTTCACTCCTTCCTTGTGCCCTCTTTCTTTGAGATGTTTTTTTTTCCAAGATACTCCTCAGTCTTTCCTCCACCTTGTCAAACATTCCATGTGTTTAACATCAGAGCAGTACTTCTTGCCACCCATGAATACAAACTACCAACCAAAAATGGATCAAACTGATATTCCAACCATCCTCTGTGGTGGCAAGATGGGCTGTGTTCAAACATACATCTGAGTGTGAATTGCGCTGACCTGTGCAACCCATTTACCAACTACATCTGGTTTTGCAGTGAGGAATCTTCCACTTTGCTCCTCGCCTCTTTCTTCAAGTCTTCTTCCGTTACTGTCACTATTCCTCAATACCCTTAAAATGCCTGAAAAATCAGGAAAACCGACACAGGCACTGGAAGAGTGATGGGCTCTATTTAAAATGGAATTAGACTGGAATTGGACTCTGTCGCTCAACTCATGTTTGATCTTTTTCACTTTTCACTCTTTCTCTGGCACCACTGTAATAATTCTCCCTTGGCTGGAACTCTTCGTTGTCTGTGTGTGCTGTGGGTGATGTGCTGTAACCCCAAATGAAGTTCTTCAACAAAAAAAAAGGATATGAACATGAACATTTAACGCTGGTCCAATAGGGCAAGTGTAAAAAAAAAAATATATATATATGATCCTATTTTCTTGGAAAAGAAATCCTGATGGACAGAAAAAAAAAAGAGTAAAGTGATTAATGTTGTGTTTTATTTTTGTTTTTCAAAAGAATTTAGAGAATCAACCTGCTCTTCCAGACACAGAAAATAAGCAAAAAGCCAGCTTCCATAAGTGTGGAAGTGTGGGTTAATGGATGTGTGTATGTGTGTGCATGTGTGTGTGTGTGTGTGTGTGTGTGTGTGTGAATGAGGGAGTATTTTGGACTTGCACAGCTAAATTAAGATATTGCTGAAAACAGCAAAGCCCTTGATAATGATGGTGAAAACAAGGTATTGTTAATATTTGTGGTTGTATTAGCTGAAGATGTGGGGAGGTCACTAAGGTTAAAGGGTCAATCCACCCAAACCACAAACACCCATACAGTGTTTTCTAATATACCCTTAGTGGTAACAAGCCAAGCAGATAGTTTCAGATGTATATGTTGTGGGTTTCATCCCCAGAAATCACTGCTGCCATGGCAAAAACAAAGGAAATAAACAGGATTTCATTGTGCTGCTCACAGCATTTGAAATTACTTCAAAAATTCAACAGCAACATGTCTTTCCAGAAACACTAGTCTGGTTAATTGGACAATCCACACACCCCTCAGTGATGGGAGAGGTCTCAGTGGTACCATGCAAACTGAAACTTTTCCACATGGCTTGATACCACAAAGTGTAATTAGGCAAAACATTGTTTTTGTTTTGATGACAAAAAAATAAAATAAATAAAATTCCCCATGTTAGCTTTATACTTGTTTTCAACCACATCTCACAGTTTTGGACTCAGATGGACTCAGCTGAAGATCACATGGTGGTAAACTTGCACACAGTGGAATTACATCAGCACGCTCTAAGCCAAAAGCATCAGTGATGGGGCAAAAGCTGCCACACCTTGGAGAACACCAAACAAACATCACTGGACGCAACTTGTGCAAGCCAGGAACTGAACGTGGTTCTTCCACCATGAGATCTTGGATTAAACTGAACAAATTCCACCCACTGAGGAGGATCATGAGACACATTCAGTAGGAAAAAGCTAGAAAGTAGACCTTGAATTTAGTTTTTCTTTTTTTTTCTGTCAAACTACATTCACATTTTGTGATTTTGGTGAAGTGACTATTTATGAATGCAGGCAGTAAATGACTAAATGTTAGGGTTACATATGTATAATGTATGTAGTTTGTTAAGAAATCAGATGAGAAATAGATCAGTTAATCTGAATCAAAATGCACTTTTTATGTCACCCAAGTCACCCTCTGTGTCTATCAGCGGCATTAATCAGTGCATTAAACCTAGAAAATGCATTACAGAACCCTACAAAGCTTTTCTTTTTTGATTTTTACAGAGTATTATGAGTCCAAGGGCGATATTAGACCAGGTTTTGTGTTATTTTGGGGGGTTTTGAACAAGGTACAAGTCAGTCTTCCAGTTGTTTTCTTCACTGCCTGAATGTGACCTCCCCCAAGTCCCATATAAACATGTGATGATTGGATGAATGGAAACAAATGAAAGTAATAATATCTGGGGAAAAACTCTTTTTACATTCCACTGTTCGTTTTTGTCTACTGTATGTGTGTGTGTGTGTGTGTGTGTGTGTTTGCACTGTGGGTGAGTGTCAATATTCAAACTTTAGGTTGTGTGATTGTACTTACTGTGAGTCCCTCTGTGTGTGTATATATCTGCACTGAGTTCTATTTTGCCAGTTTAATACAGAACAACATTGTTTACCGTTTTTATTCTGTATGAAACAATCCAGATGTACAAAGAAATATGTTTTTTTAAAGTTGTCACTTCTTTAAGAATCACTGCACTTGTTGACGATGATGCTGGAACAAACCTCTCTTCATAGCAAGGTTATTTTCCTCATGTGTGGTTTAAAGGACGTTTGGATTGGGTGGAGGCAAATCTGTTATACATGAGCAGAGAGTGAAGGTCAAAGGAAAAATGTCACAACCAAGCTTTACAACAACCCTAGATAAAACCTGTTTTCTTCTGACCGCCAGACAACAGATTTTTGGTTCAGACAGAAGCAGCTACCAACATTTTGTCCTATCTGTCCTTCTTATCTGGGCCGATCTGATTCACCAAGATCAAAAAAATGAAAGGTGGCACCTTAACATCAGAGCTGACGTTCCCCCAAAACACCCCCGTCGTGCACACATGCTTTCTGGCACAAAGTGTTCTGTGTGTGCCTTATAAACCCTGCCACGCCTTGCTCTTCACCATATGTGCTCCCTCTCCAAGTGTCAGGGAGGGGGGAGGAAAGAAAAGGTGAGATAGGAGATAATCATCACCTCTTTGCATCACTGTTAGCTACGTCTCAGGTCAGAGCAGAGCATCGGAGCATCCCAAAATAACCAGGAACACAGTCATGTGTCTGTCTTGATGGCCCGGTGTGTTAAACAAGGCATTATTTTGAATGCTGCTGACAAAGCATTACATTCCAAAGGCTTAGTGAAAGTCACTTTAATCAATGCAAGCTAACTATTGTATAACAGTCAGGGTTTGGTATATTTTAGTTTTAAGAAATCTTGTGTGTCTACACTCTTCACTGGCCAAATAGAATAAACTGGTAGATCTTGGACAAGCTTGCATTTTCTGATTTAGGGCATTCTCTTGGGGGACTGCTTGAGACAAAGAGAGGTTAACCAGCAGCATTTTAATTTATATACTGTACAAATGATTGTGAAGTGTCCTGTATGAAAAAAAAAATCATCAGTATTTACTGGGGTTGTTTGTCTGTCCTTGGTATCACTCAGCCCCGTTTTCACTCCCTTTTCTCTTTGTAGTTACACATCCGTCGGGTGCACAATGTTAAATATCAACCATTTATTTTTTTGAAATCTGTACAGTGTATATAAAAATATAAATGTGTATATAAAACAAAGATACTTCTGGTATTGTTATGAATTTTTCAGAGGCTTGTTTTTATTATTTCTTTTGGTCATGAATGTATTATAACAAAAAGGTTTATACAGTGTAGTCGGTTCTACATGAAAGCATATGTGGAAGAAGATCCTTTACTTAAGTAAAAGTACCATACATCAATATAAGAATACTCAGATACAAGTCAAAGTCCTGCATTCAAAAACCTACTTAGGTAAAAGTACAGAAGTATTTCCACAAAATGTAGTAAGTAGAAAGCAGTACTGCAAAAAACACATGATAGTTTTAATTACTGTATATAGACTACTGTATTTTAGTCCAGTGGTCCCCAACCACCGAACCAAAGGAGTCAGCCCCCTCCTAAAGGAAAAAAATTCTGCTACACAAATTACACATCTGAGAATTTTAGAATTTTTAGAATTTTAGATGTTATAGCAGCTACTCACAGTATTTACCTATTTCAGTGAATCTGCCAACAACAGCTATTAACAATTTCCCTTGCCTGTGACCCTGTCATATTCTTTAAGATTATTACGTGTTTTTAAAAGTCCTAACCTGAAAAATAACTGATAACTACAGCTCTCGCATAAATCTAGCAGATTGAAAAGTAAAAATATTTCCCTCTGAGATGTAGAGGAACAGAAGTTAAGAGGCATAACATGGAAATACTCAAGTAAAGTAAAATTAGACATAAGTAAGTGTATTTAGTCACCTTCCATCACTGCATGCAGAAGGACTGAGGTAAGTCAACTTACAACACAAAAATACTATCTAAAACCATGAGGTTTTGAGTGTAAACTAGAGACTCTAAGTGCAGTTTTCATCTAAGAAACAAATTTCATAGAGACTTGCTGCTAACTCACTGTCAATCCCAGTTTGGTCTGATTTTGAGCGTTGATACCATCAATTTCTTTTGTAGAAACTTAATTGCAAACACATGGACCAACTGATAAAGCCACAATTATTCCAGCCACTGCTGGAAATACATCCACACTCTATTTTACTCTCTTGTAGCTCATGCAGAAAGAGGGCCAAGATTTTAAGGGTAATTAACACAGATCTTGGTTGGTGCAGATCTCTAGAACCAAGGAAATTGCCTGCTCTGCCTCCTACACACTACATTTCACTGCATCTGACATAAGATAACATCTAAGAGAAAAACTCTGGCTGTATGTAATGTTGAGAAAGGGTGTTTTAATTTACCAACTTGTCTAAGATCCTCAAAGTTAAACCAGCCAGAAGTATGTCTTACCAGTGAGAGCAGTTTTCCTTTGCGCTCCTCTGCTCACGACTCTCCAGCAGACATGGGAAGACAAGATGAAGGCTGGGGACGCTGGTGGTGGTGGTGGAAAGAGGAAACAAGAGAACATGAGATTGAAATTCCAGGGGAGCAGAGGGTGACGGCAGGGCTGAGGATAAAACAGAGAGCTGTCACGACACAGGAAGCAGCAGTGGAGGATGACAGGAGCGCTGGGCTACAGATAGGCACTGTGGGTGTGCGTGGGCAACTGATGAATACACACTCTAAACAAGCCTCAAAGCAATGAAGATGTGAATTTTTTTTTGATCCACAAGTGGCTTTTTTTTCTTTCTTCAAGGCAGGGAATTGTGACAGCCAGCAAGGTTCACATTCAACTACTGTCAAATTAATTGTAGGGTGTAGTACAGGACATCTACACAGGCACAATTAGGTGACTATTGATTCAAACTTTTTAAATTCCTGGTTTACTTTATGCTTTAAGACCAGTGGTGGAAGAAGCATTTAGATCCTTTAGTGTTAGTAAAAGTAAGTATTAAAACAACAATGTAAAACAACTCCATCACAAATCCATAAATAAAAATAGAAATACAGACGTATTAGCAGCAATATGTACTTAACTAATCAAATGTAAAAGTCCTCGTTTGCAAGATAAATGAACCCTGCAAATGATATGTATCATTTATATATTACATTGCACTAACATTTGATAGTTAAAATTAATGCATCAATGTGTAAACAGCCTTTTACTGCTGCAGCTGGTAGAGGTGGAGCTAGTTTTAACTACTTTATATATTATGTAGTTTAGTCCAGTGGTTACCAGCCAATGTCTCAAGCCCCTCCAAAGGGTCACAAGATAAGTCTGTGGGGTCATGAGATGATTAATGGTAGAGGAAATAAGAAAAAAAAAACACCATTCTTCTACATTTGTATTAATCTTTTGGACTTTCCCCCTATCGTTGGATAATTGTACCTCTTCATCTCAACAACTACCATCAACTCATAGACCTCTGAAATGCGACAAGGGGCACGAACTGGACTGCTTATTTGGTAACAATATAAAAATGTTGGGAACCACTTGTTTAATCTTGAACAATGCACTGTATTTTATAAGTGTATCTTTTTTTTATGCAAAATGTTTACTCTTAAAATTAATTCATAACTAGAAAAAAAGTTTTTTAAAAAATAGATTTCCTGCTAAAATGTAATAGAAGCAGAAAGAAAATGAAAATTGTAAATGTTCTTTGTTACTGCTCACAGCTGATTACAATATATATGGAGTGGAGAGACAGATGGCAGAAGAGCAGAGAACACACAGAGGGGAACCCTTCTGACATCACTTCGGTCTATTTTAGGACAAGCTGAGGACACAAAAATTGAAGGCTGGGACTCTTACTCAACATATCTCCGCTGTGAAGTAATGAGAAATAAAATACACATCAACCTTTGTCACTTATCTGTAAGATCGCCTTGTTTGTGTAACACCTAGGCAGTGGAACATCTGTACATTATAATTCTATGGGTGTACGGCTTGTCATCTGTTTTGAGATTCTGTGCACATCTCGTGGCCAGAGGGCATTTCCCTCCTGCTCTCAGTACGAGGTTCCGCTGAACCGACATGACACACAGACAGCCAAGATATTTTCCACCATAGTCAACACACACTGATCCAGATAATTATGACCATGTTGGGTTTAAGCAAAAATATTTTTGTTTAATTGAAAACTCAGCTTGACAGACAATTTCACTGATCATTGCCTTTGTCTCGTGACCTTAAATGCAGTAATGTAGTAACAGTAAGGTGGTTTTTGCTTCCATCATCTGTAGCTCACTGTTCAAGGTTATCAGCATGTGTGGAAGCTATGGAATAATGTGTTCAGATTGTATCTTGCATGAAAAATAAGGTATGTGAAAGATATGTGGTTGACAGGTGACCCATTTGCCACAGGGATACTGAGATCAGCAGGAGCTTCAATTTGACAGTGACAGAAAATAAGGTGATCTGCTTCCATCTGGTGTCCATGTGCTGATACTGCAGGCAACATAATCATTAAGTAACAAATACTGTTCATAGTATCAATTATGGCCACTTCCAGTATGTGACAGTAATGCAATTGAAGTAAGCAGCAAATAACAGTAGAGCATCAACATTTATTAAATAACCCATAATGACAGTAATAGGCACAGTAAAATCATTGAATCGACAAGCTATGCTATTGAATGAATCGATGTGTTCCCTTTTAATTTTCTAATAAAGAAACAGATCATCACCTCGTATCCATCAAGGCTGACTTGGTCAGTATGCATCTCACAGATTGAGCAGTCCTAAATCTTACAGTCTTAAATCAAAAATGTACAATTCAAATCATGTAAAATATTCAGAACACCTTCCCAATATTGCGCTGTATCAATATTTGCCCGATCCACAAACTTCCCTCACCATCCAGAAATCTTCTTCTACCTATAATGACTGGAGTTAGCAGAGGAAATGTTGGATCGAGGCTTTCATGATGAGAATATTTAATGGACAGGTGTATAGTACAAGACAGTAAAGTGAATATTTTGCACTGTACAATATTCTGTACACTCTGCTGTGTATGACAGGAGAAACACAGCTGACTTTTTCCGGTGGCTGATTTTACACCCAGTTCCCCACCTAAAATGAGTCTCTGAGAAGGTGGGCCATGGACCTCATTGGTTTTCCTTTTCCAGGTACTCCAAGCTGGGCGCATCTAATCTCTGTTCATGGTTGCGATTCTTTGTGAACTCCTTCAGCAGATCCATGACCTCTCCTTGGTAAACATCAGGGGTGGGGTGAGCTTCTGTAAGAAAATAAGAGGTACATACTTAATTCTTTACAGATTCCAACTCAGCCTTGAGAATTGAGAGGAAATTAGAAGAATAAAATAGTAAGTTATACTGGGACAGTGAATGAGCTCCCAGGGTGAAGTCCGAAAAAGAACGGTAATAAAAAGTTAATTTGTAAGCAGAGCTGGGATTTAATTATTTCAGCATCAGTAGCCATGAATGATGGCCAGTTTAAAAAAAAAAAAAACATTTTATAATTATTATACCCATTGGAGTTTTCCACATTGTGTTGTGTTGCAGACTGAATTTAAAATGAGAATGTCTGCTTCCTTTGTTGCTGTTAACATAAAACAGCAAGTCAAACCAGGCATTTGTTATTTGCAATTTTTATAAACATTAATATTGCAAAGCTGAAATGTTTTTGTCATTAAATATTTAAAACGTTTCGCAGTAAGAAAGAAGAAAGTATATCCAAATACCCTTCAAATGATGTCTATCTGCTGCCAGCTCACTTATTATTTGTTTTTATGTATCATGTCTACTGTACTGAACAGTAAAATAACCATTTTCTCACCTGTTGCCCAGTAGTAGATGTCCCAGTCATTGCTTGGTTCATTAATCAGTCTGTCATACTGCCGCAGCTGCTTCTCACTCATTGTGTTCAGGTACTGCTTTGCAAAAAGGCTGCAAGAGAGAAGGAGAATTGATTTGAGTCTTCTCTCTAAATGGAAAGTCACAGTTTCTGGTAATTATCTGAGCAGCTGGTGAATGGGTTGCACACTGGGAACTTATTCTTCTTTGGGCTCCTTCACGTTGCATTACTGTCTATTTCTGGTTTTAGTGGTTGTGAATGCCCCGATACTCTATACTCGTTTAATTAATCCGGTGGCTCACAAAAATCTAAACAGCCATCTTCTGCCCTCCCCACTACCTCCATACTCTAAAATCCTTTTTACATCATTACCAGTCTTTCTACTGTTTACTTCCTACATGATATAAGTACATGTTTTATTGTTCCTGCCTCCTGACACTTCTCGCAATAGCCTGTGGGATGTTTTCCTTTAAGAAACTTGAAAAGTTGGTGACACAAACTCATCACACACCTGTATTGTACAACTGCTCTAAAGACATCACCAGTGAGGATGAGGCAGACAGAAAGATAAAAACAGTAGAGTTTAACAACCTGAGCAAAATGCAGTTCTCCAACATGCCCCTCTTGCGACTCTCATACAGCAGGCGGCGCCTCTTGATGTCAGTGGACTCGCCAGGCTTTTCCTCCCAAGGGGGCAGAGGGATCTCAATGAGGTCACCTCTGGTGTCGTCTGGGGCATCACCACGGTAACCACGAGATGATACCAGCCCGGTGACTGCTGGTCTCCATGCTGCCTGACACACCCCTGTCACCAGCTGACAGGCCAAAAACACACATTAGAACAAATACTAGTGTCGTGTGTTGTATTTTATTATCCAGTACAAGTGCTGAGTCAAACAATTCAATGTGTAATCTGTTCAAAATGTGTTGAAAAAGGCAGTGTTGTTGCTGACCCTTTGATGTCACTACATCTGATTATCCAACTTTATTTTGTGTAAGATCAGGACTTTTAGGAAGAGTTATTCAGACATTAGATAAACATGTAAAATGACCATGTCTTAATAGGGCTTTATGTACACAATATGAGAGGTCAATATTATATTTTTTATAATGCTGGAGGCTTACAATAGTAATTAAGGTTTTTTTTAAAACAATTTCTATGTATTACTTTGTGTATTTATTCATCCAGCAATTTAGATATTTTGGTATTAATTTAGCTTAAAGTACTTTCCAATAGATAAAGCTCTGTAAGCCTAAATTTGACATCAACACACCGACACAGTCAAAAACAGATGCAGAGGGTTAATTACATAATGTCACACGCTGCCCTGTTGTACAACTGTCCTCTAACAGGACACACTTTCTGCATCACGGCTAATAACGTTAATGCTGCAACACTGACAGACAGGACTCACGCTAGCACTTTATAACATTAAATACAACGTTGTTACATCAAATTATGAGATGACACTTAATCCTGTATTTATTTCTCGTCTAGTCTAGTGCTCGACGAGTTCATTCCGACGACTGTAGCATCCAAACTTCAACCAACAAAAGGGTACAAACAAATGCAACGTTCACGAGATAACTCACTCTTTTCGCAACGATAGAGGACAGCATTTTATACCCTCTGTCTTGAGACGTGGAGAGACTTCTAGATGAACCGCTTCTTCGCCGTGTTTGTGGAGTCAGTGTGTGAATGTCAGACAGAAAACAGTCCAATTACACAAGCTGGTCGGGAAACTAACGAGGGGGGGGGGGACCGGAAACAGCGCACACATGACGCCATATTGCTACGGTAACGGCGATGTTTAGCTACAGGAAAACACAATTGGCCAGTGTTAGTTCGTCGGTGTGGTATAGTAAAAGAGTATTACTTAATTGGCGTATTTTCAGTTATTTTATATAATTAGCGTCACAGTCAAAAGCGTGTCCCACTCATCAGAGGAGTGTGAAGGGGCTTGCCCATAGGAACCAACGTAGTTTGTTGTTGCTAACCGGTGAAATAGCCCGGACGGATTTAGCGCAATGATCACGTACTAGCAATTTTAGCATTAGCTGAGGCGAAACTATTTGTACATGCACTCGTACATGAAAGGCGGTGCATGTGTTTTCAAAGTGTTCATTAAAATATAACCTCTTGCCATATGTCCGCTTGTCGTATTAATCGGTTTGGTATCAGGTTTTATTGTTTTTTTTTGAGCCACGGTTTTCATCATTTGCGGTCTCAAGCGGAACGTTAGTTAACGTTATAGCCACCGTTAGAAACAAGGCTTCACCATAACAACCTATCTTGAACATTGGCGGTGCACCTGTTGTCGTAATGTGCGGATAATATAGCAGAGTGAGCGAGCTACACTGAAAACAAAGAAACTAGCGCCAGTTTCAGTCCGACCAGCTGGATCGTCTGAGGCCCGCGGGATGGCTGCTGCAGGACGTGCAGCCGGACCGAGTACCTCCAATAAGGCTCGCATAGATCTGTACAGCGACCTGAGTCAAAACGACGACGTGAGTTTGTAGTTTACTTTTCTTGTTTTTAAAATCTCAGCAAATGCATCAGTGAAAGCAGCACAGGGGTGAAGATGTAAAGTTGTCGGCACCTTGTTGTGGTTTGGTATCACCTGAGTGAACTGAACGCAAATGTTCAGTCTTTTTGTTGCTTAATGAGAATAAAACGGTCCGTGGTTTTCAGGAATTTATGAGCCTTCAGGTACAGTCACTTGAGTAGACAGTCTCCATCTTCATGTGATGTTGTGCTGTCATATGTTCAGGTGTGTAGGTTTGTTTCAGCCGCTGAGTCAGCTGAGTTACATCTAGTGAAGGTACTTTCATTCAGTTTTGTAGTTCTCCTTTTCTGGCAACTTCAGGTATCCCCTAGTGTAGAACCTTTACTGACTCAAGCAGGATAATCTGGGAATGATCCTTGTCATTCAATACTTCCTGCTGCTGCAGCTGCTTGGATTTGTATTTCTTCTTGTATGTTTTGTTCATTGATGCACATTGACATTCATTGATTTTTTTTACATTTTTATTTTATTCTACACAGGATTTGGACAGAATTGCTGAAGCAAATGAACTTTTTGACGCTGTTCTGACTGGCTCGGTCGATCGGGACAAAACAGTTACAAATGTGACGCTTCCTAAAGAGACAACAGCTAAAGAGGAGGATAAATCAACTGTGAAAAGTCAGAAAGGAGGAAACTCACTGAGGAGACTGTCTTTGTATATTGGAAATTTCTCTTGGGTGAGTAACACCCTCTTTATGGTAATGTTGATTCCATTTGTATTTTATCGTCCAATATGTTTTTATGATTTCATCAAATAAAATGTTCTTATACATTATGTCCTGACCTGGTGTTTTTTCCTCTATATTTTGCCAGACTTCAATAGCGGGGTTTAATGGTCTTGAGTCTTTCTAGCTAGTGTAGCTCTGGATTCCAATAAAGGGGGAAGTCTTGGAGGAAAATAGAGAATTTAATTGTGCATAGACTGGTTTGTTTGCTTTCACCCACCAACACTGGTAGTACGGGTATGCTTGATCCGTGGCAAGAAATTAGCATTAGAAGGCCCACTATGTTTGAGTTATTCTTTAAAAAGGTTACAGAGTGCAGCTTTAAGACAACCTCGTTCCAAATGCCAGGTACCAAACGTACATTTGACCCACAGTTAAAGTAAGCATAATCTAATGTTAGTCTGAACACAGTTCATAATGGACATGAATATTTTGAAATATATCCACAACAATCTGTCCTTATTAACAAAAATAGTTTTACTCAGCACTACATATGAGTCTGTTTCTGTCAATCACATACTTTTGTTTCTTTAACGGTGGTCCTATTTATCAAGATAATAAGTAACTATCTACCCTCCTGGCATTTTCTCATCTCTTCCTCCCAAACCTGCCACTACCTCCAGTGGACATCTGATAAGGACCTCATGAGCATGGCTCAAACGTTGGGTGTGAAGGACATCATAGACATCAAATTTGCTGAAAACAGAGCTAATGGCCAGTCAAGGGGGTGAGTGGTTGCAGATCAGGTGTTTTATAAAGTATAAATAAATATTGGAAGCTTGTTTTGATTTATTAAAGATTTGGATTTCTGTGACTAGTTAATGTTGGTGACCTTCTACTCTGTAATACAGGTATGCAGAAGTGGTGGTAACCTCAGAAGAGTCATTGAAAATATTGTTGGAAAAAATACCCCAATGTGAACTTAATGGGGAAAGGATAGACTGCCGGTTTGCCACTCGCCAGAATCTCACTGTGTTTGAGGATGCAGCAAATAAACGTAAGAGAATACTATTCATTTTTTTATTTTATTGCATTTTATGTCATTGTCTTTGTCATTTCTAACAAAAACAATGTGTTCTTTGTAGGTATACCCATGCGTCTTAATTCCAAAGATCCCAAGGAGTCCGATTCTTTGGAAAAAATTCCCTCATTATTATCACAGGAGCCCAGCCCTCCCCCTATACTTCCACTTTTTCCATCACATCCCCTTGCAAACAGGTTTCCCTCATTACCAATGCCTTGCTTTGGCCAGCCACCTCCTCCCTTCCCACATATGCCGCCAAACGTCCCTCCGCCCCTGCCACCCCCCTTGTTCCCCCCTCCTCCAGTCCATGCTCCAAGCCAGCCTTCTCCCAGTCTGCATATAAATCCAACTTTCTTCACCCCACAAGCACAAGACGGGCACAGCAGCAATGCCTACAGCCAACAAAAGTGAGAACATGCACTGTTTTATATTTCTAACTACATTGAACAAAATTATAAACGCAACACTTTTTTTTTGCCCCCATTCATCATGAGCTGAACTCAAAGATCTAAGACTTTCTCTATATACACAAAAGGCTTATTTCTCTCAAATATTGTTCACAAATCTGTCAAAATCTGTGTTAGTGAGCACTTCTCCTTTCCCGAGATAATCCATCCACCTCACACGTGTGGCATATCAAGATGCTGATCAGACAGCTTGGGTATTGCACAGGTGTGCCTTAGGCTGGCCACAATAAAAGGCAATCGAAAATGTGCAGTTTCACTGTATTGGGGGGGTCCGGGGGGGTCTGGAAACCAGTCAGTATCTGGTGTGACCCCATTTGCCTCACGCAGTGCAACACATCTCCTTCGCATAGAGTTTATCAGGTTGTTGTTTGTGGCCTGTGGAATGTTGGTCCACTCCTCTTCAATGGCTGTGTGAAGTTGCTGGATATTGGCAGGACCTGGAACACGCTGTCGTATACGCCGATCCAGAGCATCCCAAACATGCTCAATGGGACATGTCCGGTGAGTATGCTGGCCATGCAAGAACTGGGATGTTTTCAGCTTCCAGGAATTGTATACAGATCCTTGCAACATGGGGCCGTGCATTATCATGCTGCAACTTGAGGTGATGGTCATGGATGAATGGCACAACAATGGGCCTCAGGATCTCGTCACAGTATCTCTGTGCATTCAAAATGACATCAATAAAATGCACCTGTGTTTGTTGTCCATAACACACGCCTGCCCATACCATAACCCCACCGCCACCATGGGCCACTCGATCCACAACGTTGACATCAGCAAACCACTCACCCACATGATGCCGTACACGCTGTCTGCCATCTGCCCTGTACAGTGAAAACCGGGATTCATCCATGAAGAGAACACCTCTCCAAAGTGCCACACGCCATCGAATGTGAACGTTTGCCCACTCAAGTCGGTTACAACGACGAACTGTAGTCAGATCGAGACCCCGATGAGGACGACGAGCATGCAGATGAGCTTCCTTGAGACGGTTCCTGACAGATTGTGCAGAAATTCTTTGTTTATGCAAACCAATTGTTGCAGCAGCTGTCCGGGTGGCTGGTCTCATGTGGAGGTCCTGGGCTGGTGTGGTTACACGTGGTCTGCGGTTGTGAGGCCGGTTGGATGTACTGCCAAATTCTCTGAAACGCCTTTGGAGACGGCTTATGGTTTAGAAATGAACATTCAATTCACAGGCAACAGCTCTGGTGGACATTCTTGCAGTCAGCATGCCAATTGCACGCTCCCTCAAAATTTGCAACATCTGTGGCATTGTGCTGTGTGATGGAACTGCACATTTTTGATTGGCCTTTTATTGTGGCCAGCCAAAGGCACACCTGTGCAATACCCATGCTGTCTGATTAGCATCTTGATATGCTACACGTGTGAGGTGGATGGATTATCTTGGCACAGGAGAAGTGCTCACTAACACAGATTTTGACAGATTTGTGAACAATATTTGAGAGAAATAGGCCTTTTGTGTATATAGAGAAAGTCTTAGATCTTTGAGTTCAATGATGAATGGGGGCAAAAACAAAAGCGTTGCGTTTATAATTTTGTTCAGTGTATATGTTTTTTTCCTAGTGATAAAATGAAACTTGATAATACTGTTGTGGAAAGTGGATATTTAAAAGCAGCAAAAGGCTAGGATGCAGAGGGGAATACAAAAGAATGGAACATATTTAGGATGGTACAACAAATTAAGATGTATGACAACAGTCTGTATTTTTCAGACACACACCTCAAAGTACAGACAGAGATTTCGAGGAGCTGATGAACAGAAACAGAGCTGTTGCCAGCAGTGCCATCACCAAGGCTGTGTCTGGAGCAACAGCTGGTAAGTACAGTTGGTCAGATTCTGTGAAGTGAAAGAAAGAACCCAGAACTTGTTATGTAATTTAAAGAAAGAACTGGTCACTACTTATGACTGACGGACAGATGAAAAGACAAAAAGCTGTTCCCCATCCACCTTTTTATTTTATAGATAAAATTAACTAAACATTTTTGTCACAGTACCTTCCTAATGACAAAGTAGACATTTATTTTTACACTTTCCTATTTTTGATTGTTAATGTATTAACTAAAGTATTCAGACCCTTTATTCAGTGCACTTCTCCTGTACCTATTTAAAGTCTCTGAAAAGTTGGTTTCAAATCTGAAATATTTCTCTGCAACATAAAATAGTGATGACAACAACAACACTGTAAAGTTTGGAAATAATTAGCCTTAGTCGTAATTTATCTAACACTCACAACCAAAGCTAATCTGCTGTGTTTTTTGTCATTTCATCATGTGCGTAATTATTACAATTATATGCACAAAATGCTGTTGGGTATTGTGGATAGATTATGGCCAAATCATTTCAGGTTAGTCACACTACTGCGAGCATAAGAGAATGACTGATGCGAATGCAATGCTTTTGTTATGAATGCTGTATGTGACTTAGAGTACGATAGTGTAACTCCAAAGGTGTAGTATAATCTAATCATGGTGAAAGTTGTCATTGGCTGCCAAAGGTTCTCCATCAATATGGTCAGTCACAACCAAGTGATGTTACTGATTTCCAGTCTTTTTGTAACTTAATTCTAAATGGATGCGAGTGCTTTAAATGTCATACTTTATTAACCCTAAACTTAAGAGCTTTAAAGTGCTTAAATACTTAACTTTACTTTTATTGTTAATACAGGAGACTTGCGGGTGGCCATGGAGACTCTATTAACTGCCATTGCCATCATTAAGCAGTCCAGAGTGTATGGAGATGAACGCTGCCAAGCCCTGGTCACCTCACTCAAAGACTGTCTAGTCTCTATCCAGGGCAACTACGGCTACAGGTTTGTCTAATTATGCTTCAGGACTCTAAGACGTGATGCATCTTGCAGTCCATAAATACACTAAACTAGCTGGATGGAACTAGCATAAGCTTTTCTTATCAGTTTGTATCACACAAATACACACATTTCTGTGCAGGAGTACCAGTCGTTCTGGGGACGAAGAAAGAGACCGGGACAGGGGTCGGGACCGAGAGCGAGATCGTGACAGAGAACGTGACAGAGAAGATTCTTCCGGTTGGGACGGTGCGGGAATGTCTCGAAGACGCAGAGATCGCGGGGATAGGGATAGGGAACGCTCACGGGAACGAGAAAGGCACAGAGACCACAGAGACAGATACCGCTAACTTGGTAAGCTTCCCTCTAATTTATACACTTACGTAACTTATGTACTTTTCACCCATCAGACCGTTCCATTGTTGTTCTGGTACTCTGCCCCATATGAATGGAATGAACTTTAAAGTGTCATCCTATTGGATGAATTTCAACTTTTAATTTTGGACCTCCTAAGAGATGCCTGATTGTTTCTGATGCTGTTTGTGTGCTTCAATGTGGCTGGTTGTGTTTTGTTTGTGTGTCTGATCTGTTCTGTTTCTTCTGTTGCTTCTGCTGAGGTCTCTTGCAAAACAGACCTTGACCTAAATGAGAATACCCGATTCAATAAAGGTTTTATATATATATATTTATTAATATATATATATATAAAACCAACACAATACAAAACTTTCTTCATATTGTATTTCATTAAGTCAGTGAACATAATCTTACAATAATCTTGCGATTGAATAAAATACAATTTCAACATAGAATATATTCAGGCACATAATTTTGTAATCCATTTTTATATAGTTCAGGAGTGCACATTACTAGGCACATGCCTCTGGTTCTAAATGGCACCTAAATCCTTTTAGACACAAAATGGTTCATGGAGTAAAGGTCAGTAGTTATTTTTAGTTGAGTTATTTCTGTGCACTGAACTGTTAAGTCTAAGGACAAAAAGCCACCTAGTAGTACTGTACAGTCCATATTTAATTCGTCTGAATGTGGCTTTGAAAAGTATGCTTTTTTTTTCTCCTCCCCAGACTGTCGGAGTGTTTAAGTGTGAAGCAGAAAGAAGACAGGACTTTTTTTTATTTCTGCACCAAGCTGTATAAAAACCTGGAGAATTCTAAGGTGGGACTGAAGATGTATCTCCAAAAGTCTACGGTGTACTTTTTTGTTCTCCAGTCGTCTGTACATACTGGGACTTTTACCTGCTATAGGAAAAAAATGTGGTTGTAGATTTGTTGCTGGAACATGAGATTCCAATGCTCGCATGCGCAGGAACACCTCTTAAAACCGTGTAAATGTAATGCAGTGTAATGTTTTCATCACTTTCTTTTGTATTAAATCTACAAATTAAAAAACATTCCCCCAAAAACGTTTTTTCTTCTCAGGCATTTAGGTCGTATTACATCTGCTCACTAAGTATAACCGAATAATTACCTATAATTGTATTTTTAGAACATTAAAAAAATGTTTTTGACTTGAAGCACTCAAAACACCTGGAGTACTTTTATTACTATTTACTGGTAACGATGACACCTCTTACCACAGAAGCCGATAGTGATTCACATGCACTTCTCTATAGGTCTGATTGTTTTTTTTACAGAAACTAAAGTTAATAGCAGTAATTTTTCTCCATTTCAGGTGCTGCTTTGCTTGAACGCACAACAGTGACAGTGCACAAATGTATGAACTAATTTTCACCTTTTTAGTTCCTGCAGAAAGACAGGTTAATCTATGTAACTAGACAAGCCAGTAATAAAAAGGTAGCAGTGTCATTTTAACAACTTTATTTAAAAAAAAAAAAAAAAAAGTATTATCACATCAGCGCACAAATGAATGTTCCAAAGATTTTCACTGTGGTCGGCATTTGTTGTTACACATCAATATTATATGAATCTGTCCATGCCACAGCCCAACCAAGTCCTTGCAGTTCTTGAAGTTGACCATTTCCAATCACTTCTCCAGTGGAGCATAATTCAACAATTTCTCAATAAGATCCACGTGAGAAAGGAGCATCCTCCGACAGCAGTATCTCTTCAGGCCCAGGGCATCAAGAGCATCTCTTAAGAGGGAGTAAGGAGGTAATGTTAGTCTCAATGTACGGTATACAGTTCACCAGATGAATGAGTAAACTACATGGACATTATTGCATACAATAGTCATAATAGTAGACTAAATGGCCTCAGGAAATTGCTATTATTCAGTCCATCAATGCATTCAAGTCTGAATGTAGACCACTCGAAACCTTGAGGACATTAGCACAGCCTATGACAACTGAATAGTCTAAAAAGGTTTTACTATGTTGTATTTCCACTTGACTGCTTCTAGAAAATAAAGTTGGCACAGCCGCTTACATACAAGTTGTATATCTAAATAGTTTTGATTTTGACTTAATCCTTACTCATATATTAAACATATTAAATTACATATTGCCAAGAACCACAACTATGAGCGACATCTGGAGATGTAACATTATTGAAACAACACAAACCAGCAGGTATTTATCTTACCCCTCAGTATACTCTGCTTGAAGTAGGCCGAGGTATGCCTCCCACTTGTTACCCACAATCTTCCCACACGTGAAGCATCGGACAGGGATGATCATTGTTGGACACCTGGGGACAGAGGCACACACCACCTTGTTGACGTTCATACCTGAGTGTACAGTGTATCCAGTGCTAGTAAGATAACTAAGCTAGCTAGCGTCAATTAACTCGGTTAGTATTTATTTTTATACAAATATGTGAATTCCTCCTAGGAAATCAAGCTGCTCGCCAACTGGTAACGTAAACGCTGTATCGGATAACGTTGGCTAAACTTCAATGATTTGGTAACATTTTAAATAGCTACAAAACTTAACTGGACGTTCACTGAAATGATTATCAGGAATAATACCTCGAATAATAACCTGGCGGATTAGTTAATTTGCAAGATTAGCTAACGTTAAGCACATCCATGGTAGCCACGCGATTAGCACAACAGTAAACTGTTAGCCAACGTTAGCATCTAGGAACATGCTGCCACGAGTTGACATAATGTTAGCAATTAACCTGTCAGAACATAAAGTCTAAAATAACTTCAGTTTGTATTTACTCACCGTAACGAATATAGTTTATCTAAAACTTAAATTTTATATTATTCTAAGCAAAATGAGTTGCGCCAAAAGGATGGCAGCTTCCCTCGTTCTCTTGAGCAGCAACAACAGTGAGACTTCCGGATAGAATCCTTCAGAATAAAAGCATAATTTCCGCATTGGTTTACTGATAATAAACATGGACAGTTAGAAGATACACCCTTACCCTAAATATTTGATGCATCTTTCAGTATAACGTTGTACACTTCAACAGCACCACAAATTACAGCCTCTAAAATAACATTGAACAGTTTTGTTCAACAGTCTGAACCACAACTGATTACATTTACAAACATTATAACCTGCATAATGTTGTTTAAGACTGCATTAGTTTTAACAATGTGTATCTAATAAAATGGAAACTGAGTTTAAATTCAGTACAGAAGCCGCACACATTATTTGTCAAAAGCTTTCACACTGGTACTATGTAAAAAACAAATAGCAGATGCCCCAAAGTAAAACATTTGTACAATGGTGTACTCCTTTGTTTTCGTTATGAAGACCACAGAGCTTCAATAGTTTTCAGTAAAGACCATGCATGCTTATTGACATCTCCCTGAACCTCTTGCATGTTTTGTTGCACAAGTCTAGGCCTATAACTTTATGATTTCTTTTTATTCTGTTGGTAACCTCAGCATACCCCCAGCACAGTTACGCAGCCTCTATCTGGGTCCCGAGAAGAGGTCTATTCCGCTAGAATAAAGAAACATCTTTGTGGGTGTGGTGGGTACAAGTAGAGCACAGTAGAGCTGACCCATAATGGCTTTTGTAGGCCAGTATATATATTGATAACTAAAAGCAAAAATAACCACATTACAATACACACTGACCAAACACTTAAATATTTTAGTAAATATCCCTCAAATGTGTTCATTAAAGAGTAATTAAAGACATGTGCAAAGTGTGTACCTCCAAGTTGTTAGCTTTTAAGCATTTTGTAAAAAGTTAACTGAAACGGTAACTGCTCCACCATGCTTATATGAAAAAAGAAATCCTTATTATTATATTGACTGAGATTTCAAATGAATCACACAAACACAAATTAATGATCAGTTTAATGGAAAGACAGGTACACCATACTCTAAATAATTAGCAGAGCTGAAGCTCTATTTGCAAATGTAGGTTTCCTAATTTTGAATAATATTAAATAAAGAGTGCAATTGTTCTCAATGAAATACTCCCTTGGGCTGGTTCACTGACTTTAATTAAGGTTAGATTACAACCTTTTTCTTCTTTACATTTAGGAGTTTGGGGGCAGAGGGGAATGTGCATACGGAAAATATGTTAGAAATATATCAAAAATATATCATAGCCATCATTACTGTCATCATGGAAAACATCATCATTACCATCATCGTCTGTAATATCACCGTCAATGCCATCAATAACATCATACATAATCATCACCAACAATATTATTACCGTACATCATCATTTATGTAATTTAACTTGCTACAGCACGTGTGCTAAATGAGGAGTCCTATCTGAATTATTGCATTTATACGCTGTTGAAATTATGAAAATAGGATTTGTCTTTTTTTTTGGTACACTGTATTGTACAATGTAAGGTGAAGTTTGTTTTGGTGTTGGCGTATTTTCTTTTGGATGTGGTTGGGGTGTTGACTGTGGTGAATGCAGTATGTTCGTACAATATTTTTGGCCAGTAATGTGAGGTAAAATTCATATATACCCTTACAAATAAAATCAAGAAATGGTGTGTGTCAGAACTGTCTTTCTGCTTATCTACTTATGCAACATCCCCATGAGCTTTACATGTGAGTGGACAATATTGTGTACAGCTGTACAGAGTGTGAGTATGTGCAGCAACAAAACTGTGACTGCTTGACATTTTTTCCCCTTTGAGTAAACTATACAACAGCACTTCATCTACACCCCAGTTTCACTGCATGAGCAGCCTAGGATTTTCTCATCACGTAACAGATGTTCTTAGTTATTAATGAGTTTTTTTTTCCAAAAGCTACATAAGGGGAACACGGTGAAGAGAAAAGCAACTCAAATGTATTGGCAGCAGGCTTTAAACCTGATACTGCAACATGAATGGCTGTTCATCCTGCTTCAGCTACTGTAGGATGTAAACAGATTGAACTAGCACAACTGTGGCTGTTGAAAGACATGAAAGGTTATTGATTTGTGACATCATTTGACAGTAAAATAAAACTCTTATTCTACAGCAAGAAGTAACTTTACTATTATTCTCTGCCACATACTGTACATGTTTTATATCCAACAATCCCCTACATCTCCTTTCTAAACCACCTTATGCTTATATTTTCTTGTTGATTTGTATTTTTTATTGCACTTTGCTGCTCTCTTTTTGACATGTTTTGGACATGCAGGGATTCAGTGTCCCTCTCCCTGTAACCTGAAGAAAGAGAAACTGAATCCCTTCACTTTAATATTGATTTAGCCAAAATATGTGCAATATATCACAATGCATATGTCCACCTCCTTTCAGGCCCACCGTTTCAGTTGTCTTATTAGTAAGTAAAAGAAAACCTAAACCAACTCTGATCGCCAGTATTAAGTTTCAACAGTATTACAGTTTTCAATGATCTTTAAGCAAAGTGAACCAAGCTCATTTCCAGTGCAAGAATGTACAAATATTGCAAGCTTTTGTCAATATTTGTGCAAACTGGATGAAACAAGATAAAGCAGTTGAATAAGCTACCTTTAAAGAGTTTATGCATTTAAGCTCAGTACTACAGTGTGAGTTATTTTTTTTAAGAAATAGATTATTACAGTTCCGATGCAGTATTTAAGCAACTTCATGCATATACTATGCGTAATTATGCTCCATATACAGCCTTGATCAAAACTTGAATGGTTTGATTCACTACAAGTGAAAGCAGAACAAAAAAACCCAAAAAACACTGGATGCACAGTGACTCCCCATTCCCCGTCATAGTCTGTGAACCACTCAGCAACAATGCTCTAACTCATCAACCAATAGATACATTAATTTGAGATAACAATTTGGTTTTAATTTCTCCTTGCCAGTAGCAACACTCCCAACAAAATGGCTCCTGCAGCAATAACAGCACCACCAATGAGAAAAGGTTTCAGGTGTTCCAGAGAGTCTGTGCCGGAGGCCGCAGCCTCGTCACCTTCCGCTGCTGCTTCAGCTTCTGCTGCCCCATCCTGGGGAGGAGGATTCTCAGGCTCAGGGGCTGCAGGGGCAGGCTCAGCCTTGCGTGGGGGGGCTGCTGGCTCCTTCTTCTCTGCTTTAGATGCTGCTTTGGGCACTGGAGCCCCGGTCTTGGCTTTGGCTTCCATGGACTCAGGGACAGAGGTGTGGTCTGGATAGGAGTTTTGATAAGGTCAGCTCTGTGCTGCTTCACTGAGAAAAAACAGCAAACACACACAGCCGGATTATCCTTCTAAATTAGGCTCAGACATCATGTTATCTGCTTGTTAATGTAGAGACACTGACATACGAAAGAGCCATTAAAATCCATGATTCACTGTACAGCAGTGAAGCAGTAATATGGTAGTGAGGCCTTAAATGTGACCTTGGAAAAAGATGACATTGATGGGAACACTCCAATGCTCAGAGGACAGGGAATTGTTTATTTTGGTCACAGCAGCTGTGATATAATTTTCCACTGAAAAAATAATGTTACAACAGCTTCCTGTGTAAAGCTTTTTCATGGGACAATCTGATAGTTTTGTAATGGAGGAATAGCAAATGGTACTGCAACTGCAGAGCTTATTCATAGTCAAGGATGGAATCTATTTCTTTGACCCTGACAAGAGCCTAATCCAGATGCAATAACGCATAAAGAGCAAGAAAGAGCTCTTCCTCTGTCTTGCTCTCTGTTCTCTCACTGTAAAACTGCATGAGTCATGTGTGCTATAAATGGAGCACAAGATGGAGGAGAGAAATAAGAACCACGGTGACTGCAAGGAAATCAGTGAAAATGCAAATGAGGAAAAATAATGAAGAGGAACAAACGCTGCTGAAATTGAATAAACAAATCGCAGGAGCTTGCACTTTACAGAATATAAGCTGGAGACGTCTTTACAAAAATGCTTCCATATAAAATCCTGCAGTGATGTGATGAGAGTAAATATTGGATATTACATACCTCTCCAACAGCTCTGTGGCTATAACAACGAAAACAGATGAGGAGGAAATGCAGCGGTCTCTGGAAGTGAGAATGTCCTTAATATAAGAAAATGAGAGAAATCGGAGAGATGGAGGACACTGAAAGCAGGAGGGAGGAGAATGGGAGAGGAGGAGAGACTGGGATGTACCATCTGGTCAAAATGGGGGGGGGGACAATTCTTTGATTACATCCTTGGTTTTAGAGCCTAAAACAAATCTTAATCCAGTGAGTTTTTATGGATACAATAAGAGTTATTTCACTATGGCAGAGTTTAGCTTTTGATTATCTCTACAATGATAAGATATAATACATGTTACACAAAGGTTTATGTGACAATATTCTTCTGTAGTCATTTTTCCAGGTACCATGCAGTAGGAGTAAGTTAGTGACATTTTAATTGTTATAGCGCTGTATGCTTAGATTTAACAATTACTGAGGGTAAAATGCAGATTTTCACCTTTGAGTGTCTGATGACGTTTAAGTCCATTTTGTTGACAGTCCTTGTAATCACAAACTTTTTCTGACAGAGCAAGAACAGAACAGGGCTACAGATCATACACTGTTCATACATGGATGTAAACCTCCAAATTAAAGCTGAAAGAGGAGTATAGAGCCAAAACAAAGCAAAAAGAGAGAAGACAGACAGAGAGGAAACAAATGCAATACAAGGACAGATGAAATTGTTGGACAAACTAACAGCACCTAACTTTTTCTGCATTTTGCCCTCGCAGCACACACTACAGTGACCACTTACCATCTTAATCTGTCAGTTGCCATAAACAGGTGGACACTTATTCAGTCAATTTGATAAGGAAATGAGTCATGTTTTCTTCTCATCTTGCATCACGTTTGCCCCTGTGTATGCAAATGAAATATATAATGTGAGAAATCTTCATTGCAAATATGCAAAGCAATACTGGTTTCTCACATTATAGTTTGTATGAAAACAATTATTTCACAGGTATTTTCAAAATGAATCCTGTTGCAATTGACACATCAATTACAGGCAGCTTTTAATCTATTTTCAGACAGCAGATGTCTGCCAAATAACCCTGAGCATTGAGGTCAGCACTCTTAGCAGCAGCCTGTGATAAATCCCTGTGACTGTACGAGGCCTAGTGTCCTGATGAGGGTTTTCTCATTCATTTAATGTATTTTTAATAAATTGTTGGCATAGCTTTCGCTCGTTAGCCTGCATTTTTGACAGATGACACTACACCCATTTTCATGGGTTCACGCCCATTATACGTCGGTCCAAAGAAGATTACAGTATGTCAAGATTGTAATCGGTAAGGTACGGAGTTGTCGGTCAAGTGCGTACTGGTTGACGTAAAACGACGCAGATAGAAACACAAGCACAAAAAGTCGAACTTTTTTTATGTCATCAGATGTAATTGAAATATTGTAATCAATGAGAAAATGTTTTCAGTTGGGTCCGTCTATCTGACGCAAAAGAAAGACGAAACCAAACGTAGGAGAACACGTTGAATAAACATTTGATAATGGTTAAAAATGTGACCTATAACCTACACGTATAGGGCTATGTTACATATTATTAGTATTAAGTGTAGGTTTGTATACGTTAAGGACAAAATGTTGCTTAAAATTCATGTTTATTTACCACACGAGTCTGCATCGCGGTTTCATCACCGTGGTAACAAACTATGCTGTGGATAAATAGTAACTGCGCATGCGTAGTGGCACAACCGTACCAATCAAATACGCTAATAACATTCCTGATTAACAGTTAACCTAATGCTATTTTTAAACAGTTAGCGTTCAAAACAGACATCTTCCCCAAACTATACAGCAAACTGAACAAACAAGAGTCTCTTGAGGCCTTTTTTGAGTGACTTCACAAAGGGGAGCGGCTACCTCTCGGCAAACACTGCTCTCTTTGAATCCCTTGCCTTATTATTCCTTGATATTCACAAACCACCAGTGGCGCCCTTTCTCCGCAGGATCTCCAAACTGTCTGCCATTAACTGAAACGACTCGGTTGTGCGTAAACCATTGGCGTAAACACAACGTTGTATGGGATTTGCGCAGCCAAACACGGAAAAGGGGAATAGCGAATTCGTACGTATGTTTTTTTTTTATTTTTTGGGGGGGAGCTGTGTCCGAGGGGTTGGGCCAAATTCCCGGGAAATGCTCCCTCCGTGTAGCTGCCGTCCGTGCCGGGGTTCGGGAGGTGTCCGGCTGATGGCACACACACAAGCTAACTGACTAACAACGTGAGAACCGAAGAGCTCCCGTCTTGTTCGTCAAACCCGCGGCACTGTTAACCCTTCTGTGGATAGAAATCATCATGCCGAGCCCCGACGGAGGGACGTGAAAAAGGACTCTAAAGAACTGCCACAACCGACGACGTGTTGCAATTAAAGCAACCGAGGACCGAGTCCGTCGGGTCGGTTTGAAAACGACCGTGTTACGTTGATAGCGCTCTTTTGATGGCATGTATCAGGGTTCGCCTGACACCCGGCACATAACCGAGGACGCTCCGGCTCTTTGATGTCTCTGGGTCCATTCATCCTGCTGTTGTAATGACGTCTGTACGGTTATTATAATTCAGTCGGTGAGACATTTGTGATTTCACCCTCCTCACACACACACACACACACACATATATATACATATATATATACACACACACAACCCTGAGCCGGTGTCGGGGCGAGAGAGGCTGAGGCGGGTCGGCAGTCGGAAGGATATGGGAGAGCGAGCGGAACCGATGCAGTGGGTCTTGGAAAGGCATCGTCAAAATTCAGGTGAGCAGCAGCTACCGGATGAGGAGACTGACAATCTGACGGATTTACCTGCCTTTTAGCTGTATGCACATGCAGAGCGGACAGCGTGACCCGGCTTCCCAGTGCATGTTTTTTTTTTTTTTTAAGAGACACATTTCTTAGGCCACATCCACATTAGCTAGGCCCACAGGATGCCACCTTAAGCAGCTGTCCTGATTTAAATGAGATTAGACGCTACTGCCGCTGCTGCTAATCGACTTGTTGGAATTACTCATTTTGATGCTGTTGGACATATAAACACCAAAGGGTTGCAGCTGATTGTGGGTTCACTGGTTGAGTCGTTGTGTGTTTGTGAATTTTGTAGGAAAACCAAAAAAAAGCCAAAATAATGGCAGATGCCAATCATAAGTTACAAAAAGCCAAAGTGATGTGACTTTCTTAGCCTATGGTGTTGACTTGCCAGTACCCCAAATTATTCAGTTGTACATTTACCAATATTGTTATTGATTTATTTTTATGCTTTAATAACTCATCAGTCCACCTGTCGTTTTCTTAACTAGAGACTTGTCTAACCAGACTTAAAGCCTAACCTAGTATGTATCATCCAGACTCTTTGCTTGTGGGAGTGCAGTAGATGACATGCTTCCCTTTTTTTAAAAAAAAGACCTGGCACAGCGACAGTAAGGGGAATGTCACACCTCTTTATCATTCACACTGAGAATATTTCACTGATCATTTGGGCCCTGCTTTCCTCACGACTTCCAGTTAGTAGATACTGTTTTTTTTCCTGTATTGTCATCATGCTCATGCCACTCAAAGTGCAAATGCCTTCTCTAAGCAATGTTTCAGTTGTAGAGGATCGAGCAGCGTAGACCCGTTGTAGTTTACTGTTTTATGCTAAGGGACTAGATAAGTTTGTTAGTTTTGTGAGCAATGGCACTGCGTGTTTATGGCACTTATATGAGGACTGGACTATGTCCCAGGTATTACTATTTACATCTTTATTATTTTTATACTGATCTCTGCACTGCGTCCTCCTGTCTCTTACATCAAGCCTATCGAGTATAGATTATACGGTACATATTTCACACGTAATTCCAGTTAAATAAAAAATCAATCCATGCCCAGCCATGTAAGGCTTCATCAACACCAGTGTTTACACTTGGTGCTCTGGTATCCCGGTAGGCTTCAACCCTAGTGGAAACCCAGTACCTCCAGGGAGTCCTGGCACATACAGTATGGTGTCTCTGTTTTCCAGAGCATTGTGTATGACCTCTCCTTGTGCCAGAAAATTGTCTCTTCTGCTCTGATATTGATGAATTATTACGTATTATTTTATTTAGAAGGGCATAATGCTGGTGTTTGGGTGTTCACAGGTATTTAAGGAATCACACTGCAGCAGAAAGTAGGCCATTTTTCTATATTTGATTGTTTTGGTCCTGCAGTAACCACTGTCATTAATGATGGAACAAATCATTCATGATGTTCCAGCGTTGCTTTTGCAGGACTGCAAAGAAATTATTGCCCGTTTCTCACATTTGTGCCTTTTCATAATTCGGACAACTGCTTTAAATGGATGTCTGAAGTTGGATTAAGAATAGGAAAGACACAGAGTATAATGTAGCATAGAGAGGAACCACCTAAAGCATGTTACTGTTCAGCTTGGATGGGAATTTAACATCACAACCCCATGGCTAAAGATTCAGTTAAATTTTTTGGTCTGCAATTTTAAACAGAAGGAAGTCTTGTGAGATATAATTGCCCGAACCGTTGTTTGATGTTTTTCAGGTTTTTCTTGTATTACTGTAGTACCTTCCTCAAATAGTTGAGCCTTAACCCTAAAAGGCTTAAGGCTTTATGTAAAAATACATAGTAAGGCTTTAGGATTTGTAGCCGTTACCTTGAATGCAACGCAAGTACATTTTATGTTTATTTAGAACAATATTCACACTATGTGCAGCTTTCTAGAAATAATGCACACCCTCCCTCCATTTTCATTGATCGAGGTATAGATGTAAATTCCATGTGTATGTAGTTTTTGTGTATATGAATCCACAATAATCAGAAATCCATGTTTGTTGTAGGCCTGTATAGTCTCGACAGCCTATCTGTTTTGTCGTGATGATGTGTAGGTGAGTGCCCGTGAGAGAGGAATGGACATAGGAAATTCTTTTTTTTTTTTTAAACTGCCAAGACACAAGTGTTCTCACTCATTTAGGAGAAAACTCCCTTGCATTCATTGATGTACTGTATTAGGATCAGCTAAACTGAGGAGTGATTGGAGTGAAACTTTACACTTAAACTGCAACTATTACGTTCAGATATACATTTTGCTCTTTGTCTGAGATAATGAACCCAGTCAAAATATTATACTATTGTAGTTAAAAACAATAATTCCACAGGCCCTTGAGTTTGAAGTTCATTTTGTTGTCCGTGTGCAGAGCAGATGTTAGCAAAAAATTAACCGTTTTAATTTCTCTTTTGGACTGAAAATTGTTTATTCCTAAAATGTGTAAAAAAAATTTGAAAAGCAAGTTCAAGATAAATAACCAGGCGATTATAATTGCAGTTGTATCCAGTGCATGTGCAATCCATGATTTATGGATGGTCTTCGCTATGTCTTGTGGATGAAGTAGATGTTACAGCATGCACCTTAATTCTGGACTGCTCTTCTGCTCTTTTTAACAGTCCATCATGGGACAGGTGATCCAAATAAGCCATATTTAAAAAAAATAAATAAAAAAAGGCCATTGCTCTGTGTTAATATCGATGAGACAGCATTGATGATCTGGCAGGTGCCTTGCAGGCGGGTTTGTGTGTGTCCCCTCCCTGACAGACCTGCATGTATTGCAAAATCTATAAGCTGCAGAACTGAAATCATGCGATTTTGCGGTAAAGCAATTAATAGACAGCTGGTCAATACAAGTGTGTGTTGTGTGTCGAGAGAGAGAGAGAGAGAGAGAGAGAGAGAGAGAGAGAGAGAGAGAGAGAGAGAGAGAGAGAGAGAGAGAGAGAGAGAGAGAGAGAGAGAGAGAGAGAGAGAGAGAGAGAGAGAGAGAGAGAGAGATTTAAAGTACCACGATACATTCAGCACACTGCTAAAAACCTATAGCTGCAGTAGAGTGTTGCAAGGATAAATCTGGTGCAGTTATTCTCGGTACCTTACCAGATACAGATCTGAACATGGTTTGTGGCACCAAGCCAGAGACAGGTTGGCCAAGCACATATGTTACCACCCCAACACAAAAAACATTCATGTATACACAAACACACATGCAATCGGCAGTGCACATACTATCACATCAACTGAAAGAAAGAAAATGGAGTGGGAAGAGGTGAAAGGGATTGAGTGGGTGGCAGTGGGAGAAAAAGATGGAGAAAGAGGCAGAGGGAGAGTAGGAGTGAGTGGCACATGGCTTTCAGTCTAAAAAAAGATAAGCAACACGAAACCAAAACCAGAATCTGGATTAGCTAGATAAGGAAGAGGAGGGGTACAGGGAAGGCTCGAGTAGAAAATGTAGGTTTCCTCTGCACCGAAAATGGTGCAGATGCACACGCTCAGTTTCATGCTCATAAATGTCCTCTAAAATATGAATACTGAATGAGTGTGTGGGTAGGAGGAGAAGAAGGAGAGAGCATGAGGATGGGAAGACAGAAGATGAGAAAGGCAGAAGGTGAGATGGAGATGGGAGAGGGTGAGATTCCTTAGGATGGACAGAATGCATCTTTAGTGTGACAGAATAGGGAGAGACAGGATCTGTGGAGAATGCAGGAGCAGAGCCAGGGATGTGACAAATGCTGGAGACAATCTTGATCTGAGTAGAGTGTAACACTGACCCAGGCAGAAAAAGAGAGAGACTGGAACAGATGGATGTATGACAGAGAGCAGGAGACGGAGAGATTTGGGACTGCGCTGCAGTCGCGCCAACCCGGCATAACCTCATCATTTTCTGTAGACAGTCCCCCCCCCCAGCAAATATTTTCCTTTTCTTATTGATTTTGACATCATAACCAGCCACCTGCAAGACAGGGAAGTCATTGCATACCTGATGAAAAACACTTTAACACTCATAACCCCTTGAATACCACATGATACTGATGTGAGTCAACCATGGTTGAACCTTGTTTAAAGGAATTTCATTACACGCCCAACACACAGACCACATCTGCATATGGTTTGTCAACTTTGTCACCAAAACCACATCCTTATCTTTATCCTTTTGTGTTTGCATTGCATTTAAGGTCTGTTAAAGATCCAGTGTGATGGTGGCATCTGGCAGTGTAGTAGCAAATTGCAACTCACTCGCTTCACCATCCAAGCGTGGGGGAAAAACTACGGTGGCCGTGATCGGCCCTATCTAGAGCCAGTGTTTGGTTAGTCTTTTCTTGGCCACCGTAGAAACATGGTGGTTCAACATGGCAACCGCCACGGAAGGCGACCCGTAGTGTCTGTAGATTAATAATGGCTAATTTTAAGGCAACGAAAACATGATGATTCTTATTTTCAGGTGATTATACACTGATAAAAACATACCTATGAATATTATATTCCATTTCTGACAATAGTTCCTCCTAAATCATGTTGGACTTGTAATGTAAAAACTACATACTACTACAATCCTCCTAGCTACTTTAAAAGAAAGTAATTTTCCTTTCAGCAAATAGAAGCGCCAAGTGAGTATTCACACCCCATGGTTCAGCACAGGACATCCATACTTACTGCAAAAACTAAATGTATTCTGTACCAGGATGTATTCAGATGTGAAAGCTAGAGTCTACTCATCTGTATTTTGTCAGACACGCCTTAGTTTACATTGATATTCTACTCGCTCATTGTGTTGTGAGTGAAATCTGCTGTACTCCATGCTGACATTTAGAGTCACAATGTGTGAAGAGTGGCACTTATAACCGGGAACAAGTAAAGAGTGTTATTATTGTTGTTTTTTACTGTATCTGTTGGCTAAAGATGGATACAGTTCAGAAAAGTAGTTCTGTAGTATTTATTTACGGTCTTGCTCAGC